TTTTTTTTTTTTTAAATAGAAAAATTTTTCCCTCCCATCCTTCAAACTAAACAACTTTTTTAGTGTCACAAGCATAAAATTAAAAAAGTTGATATTTTTAATATCATGATAAACAATGTTAAACTAAGATCATTTTTATCAATATCTCATGTTTTTTTGAATTCTCCTCCCACCAAACTTATGGTGCCCTCTCTAATTCTTCTGTCCATCACATACTATGCCTTAACACGAAAAAGACACATCAATGAGTGTGCATCACATGTACTTTAAAAAAAATTAAATTTTCCATCGTCATCAAAAAAGAATCATATCTATGAAAATGGCCAGTATTTCAATTTTTTAGACAAATGACACGGGCAATCATCAAATGGTACCAATTATTAGATAATTCCGAAAAGAAAAAAATGAATCTAGACAATGCAAAATACCTATAATACTTTTAAAAAAAAAAGAACAAATAAAGTTTAAATCACTCATTCATTGACATTCAAGAGAATCCTCTTTAATTTTTAATTAAAATAGAGAACCAAAGAAACCATGACTAATCATAATTTTGATTCTATTGGAGATTTTCTTTTCTTTTCTTTTCTTTTTCTCAAAGATCGTGATAAAGAGGTCAAAGATTCACCCAATAATACGTAGAATGCACTAGAATACTTTACTCTCTCCCACTCGTGTAAGCATATTTTATTCACCAATAATAATGGGATTAGAGGAATTTATAAATGGACCGTAGAACTAAACTAATGGGTACATTATTCAGAGGAATCACACCCCATCCCAATGAATGATTGATTTATCTATTTTTAGTGGAGCTAGAGTGAAGGTAGGAGGAGGAGGTACGATCCATTATGGAAGTGGGTTGGGCGCTACACTTGTTATAAACAATGGGAACGGGCCAACTGCCCAGTTAATTTGGAGACAAAGTCACAAGTGGTGTGTCGGGCCATGTTTAACGTGTCAAAGTCAATTAACACGTGTATATATTGATTATAAAATTATAAAACAAAAAGCCCACGTTTTATTTGGTGTGGTCAAGACCAATGAAAGTTGGACACAAAGCCGGGTCACAAGTGGTTACTCTGGGAATCTTCTGATCTGATTTCAGGTCGGTCGGGTTTTGGCCTTGATCCAATCTGAATTATCTTTTCAATGGAAAGCCCAACCTCTATTTTAATGTCTTGTCCAGCACTTCTATATATCTTTTCAATTGCGACTTTTATGGACAGAAATGATTTGGGCTTTCTCATGAGAAATTCCCATTCCCTTGTCAATATTTACGTATTATTGCATATTTTTTACGTCAGTTGTGCTTCATTCTCTCTCTCTCTCTCTCTCTCTTTTTCCGTTTTATTAATTTGAGGTCAAAATGTTCTGAGCTACCTTTCATATATTTTGAAATTAATTCTTTTTTAAGTGATTTTAATTTCAAAATCTCTCATGTTGATCTTATGTATTAAAAACAATTAATTTCTTTAAGTTTTTACCTTCAAGATTTGAAATCTAAACATAACTTATAAAATAATATTTATTTATCAATAAATTTAACTCTAATATTATATTTCATTTTCTTCTAGATAAGGGAAAGCTCTGTTTCCTGCTAAAGTTCTAGTAAGTAAAAACTTGAGTCTCACGCTCATGCTCTCAGGTTCAAAACTTCTAAAAAATAAAGAAGAGGCAATTTCCAAACAGGATTATAGAACACTGATAATTAAATGAAGGAACCGCTCATGATTTGATTGATCTTCTGTAGCCCGTTGCAAACTAGACTACAAAATACTTTATTGATTTCTAAATATGAATTAAAACAATAAAAGCAGAAATTTCTGAATATGAGAACAGATCCAGTTGAAATAAGAGGCTAACTTATATCCATGAAGTAGGATCAGCCATCAGGAAGCAAGAACGACAAACCCTTTCAAGCGGATCTGAAATTTGGAAAACAGATTGCATTCTCTAATGAGGAACAACATGACAAGTTAACCAGTATGGAACTACACGGTATAGCCTCCCAAGACCATTGGTCTGCAGCCACATGTCATTCATGTACCTAAATAAAAGCATCCATATTGGATTGACCTTGAATTTTGACAAAGGAAATGCAAACAGTGCCAATTTACAACAACATCAGTGTAAAATGGATAAAGGTTAGTCCCTTCATGGAGTCTACTGTCTTCCCTTTTTTGTGCTGCAAGAAGGGCACTTGTACTGCTTGATTGTTTCTGCCTTGGCTGGTGTTATCTTCACACATTTACCGTGGTACCACCGTTCACATATATCACAACCAATCCAAAACTCGTCTGAATTGTAGCTTCCCCCACAGCTCCCACAAAGAGTATCACCATGCTCATCTTCCTCCTCCTCATAGTTTTCCTCAATTAACTTGGAAATGCTTTTTGGCTGTCCATCAATTGATCTCTGTGAAGAAAGGGAAAGATAAGCTTGTAATGCAAGAATATAAGATGCAAGTCTAACAGTTTGTACACTTTCATCGTTAACAGAGGAGATTTGAAGAAATTCACCTTTGAGTTGTTCCTGGATTTGCTTCCGCTCTCCACAGGGGGCTTGTCTTTTACGGGCTTCCTTCCAGTTACAACTTCAAAGACAGTGGGCAAATCATTTACCATGCTAAATAGCCGCTTCCTGTTGAGCGAAAACCACAAAACTACTCATGTATATTCTCGTGAGCAATTCAATTCAGGGGAGATGCATTACATATAAAAATATTTAAAAATGAGGTGGCAGGCAGTTGGATTGATGCATCAGAACCTAACAGGCAAGAAGTGGTAGCTCCAATTAGCTATGTGCCCCTTTTCTAAAGGAATAATAGAAGAAAATAACCAAAAAGGGTAGAAAGTAGAAACTTCTATCCCTTTTTTGTGTATGTGAGAACTTGTCATCTAGAAAGACATGCACAGGGGAATATGCCTCCACCCAATGGCTCAAACAAGGCAGTCCTTCTAGACTAGTTCATACATGATTTTAGACAAACCATTATGCATATGAGGTCCAAAGGATATTTAAGGAAACTGCCAAGTATAACTTTAGCCAAAGACAGAAACCAACAAACAGAAATCTCACTCCAATTTAAGCAAAATTCTAGCCTCTGAGTTGATAGAAGTAGACGTCAAATTGTCAATTCCTAAATCATGAGGCAAGGCAAAAGCTCAAAAACAATCAGGCAGAACATAACCTATTTAAAATAATTAAAAAAATATATACTGGAAGTCTGTCTTAACCTCAGGTAGTGTGCAACTAAAATAATAATTTTTGTTTCCTAACTCCCTCCCTGAGGAACATTAATTAGATTTTGCCAAAAACAGCAGATCAAAGTTCTATTAATTATACCAAAAACACATCGTCATTGTTTTTCTAAATAAAAATTAACATGAAAGGCATAGCTCCACGGAAATATAGAAGAGAGAACTAGAGGAAAAAGGAAATAGGCTAACACCTAACCTTTTAAACCCAGCTAACACCTAATGTTTTAAACCCAAAACCTGACACTAGCATAAATGAGAAACCACAAAAAAGGGCTTAATAATAATGCAGTCTAGATATGAAAGATCCACAAAAGGCCTTGAAATCCGTCTCTCAAACTCTAACAAGTGCACATGACAAATGAAAACTGAAATTCTATCAAGTATATTGGCAAGTAACCTGTTAGATTTGTAGTCAGGTTAAAATTTCTGCCTGCGTGACATATGAGGATCATTGAAACAAGGTGCATTCCCACTTGAATGAGGAATAGATCTTCAAAGCTCCTTCACAGATTAAGGAGCAAAAATAAAAAATAAAAAATAAAATCCCCCATTTAAAAAGGTAGTTGGTCTTTGCTTTAAGATACTCTAGACTAGGGATGGTACATATTAGTCACCGTGTTGGTGACTTCTAGTTGACTGGTTGATTTCACGCTGATATAATGAGAAATAGATAAATGCATAACAGAAAAGACTTTAACAATGCTTTGGTAGAGTTGCAAAGGTTCACTGGTGTAGCAGCTAAAACAGAGATTCCACCTTGTTGGTATAGACAGTATGGTGTATCAAAAATGAAAAAAAAAAAAAAATCTATTGGTCTATGGTGCATCCAGTTAAGGCTTTTTTATTATAATTAAGGCTCTTATATAGAGAATAGAGTTTGCGTCTTTTCGCCCAAAGGACACATGACAGTCATAATGGACAACATAAACAAGTATACAGCAAGCAGTTCTATTCTTTCTTACAAGTGAATGCCAACTTCTGTTGATAACTTGATAAGGAAGCCTCCTAATATACTTGCCAAATCCTGCCATTTTCAATTTCCAAATATGAGATGACCCATCCATTTGTCACTGCTTGAAATTCTCTCAAGATTGTTTCTCTCCTAAAATGTTCACCTCACTTCCTTACCATCTTCCCTTCATCACAACAAACCCCAAGCAAATTTCAATCATCAATATATACTTATCCATGGGATAGCCCTTTGATAGGAGCCTGCCTAGTACTAGTTAAAGATCATCAGTTAGAACTTAGAACACAAGAAATCAGAGATGTCCAAGGCAACATGACATAAAATCCACCAAACTGAGGGGTTGACACTTCTACAATTGATCTAGCAAGTAGCAAATATTTCAGTATAAACCACACTATATGATGAACCATCATTTAAAATCTATCTTGTCCCTTATTTTGTTTCAACACAAGTTGATCTTATTAATCCCAATGTTGTAAGACACATAGGTGGTGGTCAATGAGAGAGTTATGGTACAAAAATCCCTCCAATTAAGAGGCTATCAATCTCACAAGTGACAAAGCACACATCATGAATGTTTGCAATTCAAAGTAAGAGTTGAGGAAACATAAACGCCAGAAAAAATTACCTGTCATTGCGATTAAGCCTAGCACCAAAGTAGAAAGCCACAGAGAGCAACCAACAATCACTATGCACTGCTACCAGTGAAAGCCAATCTTTACGATTCATTCCATCTCTTGCAAAATTAATGCCCAAGGCTGGCTCAGGGAGCTCTGGTGGAACTTCCTCTGCTGGCAGAGCCACCTCCCACGACTCATTGGGGTGTCCATATAAACACAAATTCTCTTTCTCTAAGATATAACAAAAGAATAATTTAAATTGAAAGTCCAGGATTAAATTGCAAAACTAGGGCCCATTAGAAAGTAGGCATTAGCTTGATCTGATGTAAGGGTTGGACATTGATGTACCCTTGTACTTCTTTTTCAATAAAATTTTTTAGTTTTCTGATAAACAAAAAACAAAAAGTAGGCATTAGCAATGGTAAAAGAACAGAGAAGCCTATGTTTCTCAAAAATGAAGGAACAAAGAAGAAAAGAAAATTGATTTTGAATCTCAAATCCTATGTTTCTAATTATGGGGGTGATCTAACATAGTAACAGCTTATTTAATTCATGATGAATGAATTACATCTGAATAAAATTTCTTCTTTCTGTAAGCTGTTTGTTTCCAAGACAAAAAATAAAAAATAATAATAAACGGAAATACATTCAAATCTGTGTAAAGGAACACTTTGAATCAGAGATGAAAACCAACTTTAAATTATCACATTTTAATGCTATCAAGTTCAGCTGCAATGAAACCGTCATACCTGAAAAAAAGTTTCCCCTGTTATGTGGATTACCTATGCAGATAATAAAAGTTCTTCTTTTTTAAGAGAAGTCAAGGAAACCCACCCATTTAACTCGAAAAGCGAAGATCAAGATCTAAGACGATATGGACTATGAAAAGCAAACATCTCACAACAATGCTCCAATTAGCATCAAAGAGAATGTAGGCAAAACAATGAGAAGAAACCAATCTCGGACCAATAAAATTTCATAATCCAGGAAAAAATCAACATCTTAGCAACTATTTTCAGCACTTAAAAGCACACTCGAACTGAACCTCTCACATGTAAACAAAATTTCTCCTTAACCTTCCATGAATTTCCTCGGGAAACAAACAGAAAACGAAAGGGAAGCAAAAGCAGAAAACCAAAACTCACCTGGATCACATTGCGCGTAAAAATCATCCACATCTGAGACAAAGCACACACACAAAACTTGAATCATCAAAGCAAGAACCAAAACACATGCAGGTCTCAGTAAACACCAACAAAATTAGAGCGCGTACCGTTGGTAAGAGCGCGAACCAGAGCAGAACGACGAGCGCTATAGTCTTTGAAGATGTCCTCTACAGTGCGAGGACTCGAAGAAATCGAAGCCATAAATGCTTATAAATAGGAGTAAGTGTGTTTCGGAGTGTACGTCCGGCCGTGTGTGTGCAAAACGGATCGGAATTTACAGACGGTGAGGTGGCGACCGGTGGATCGGCAGCTTCGAAGAAGTCAGGCGTTCGGCAACAAAAGAAGAGAAAGAAAGGAAGGGATTTGTCAGTTTGGTGTCAGAGATTAGTTCTTTGTAGATCGAAACGGCCCTACTTTGGGCCTAAGTGAAATTTTGGGCTTAGATTTGTACTTCTGACCCATGATAGTAATCATATTTCCTAGGCCCATTATTCCTTCTAACCTAATCTTCTGAAAGTTAAAAATGGCGGGCCTGTTTTGGGCCATTATTAACTTTTCTGGTCTTAGATTTGTACTTCTGACCCACAACACTCTAAGAGTAACACAGTATTTCAGTGCCTGAAATAATCGTTTTTGGGCCTCCTCTTTTTTATTTATTTATTTATTTATTTTAATTTAATTTGTTTTTATAATAACCAAAAAATCTAAAAATATGAAGGTTAAAAATATCAGCTGATAGTATTGCAGAACCTAATATGGTACACTGATATATCACACTAGCACTTGACTAACTACACATTCCATGAGATTCAAATAAAATAAGGCAACCTAAGACTGAAGAAACAAAAAGGGAAGCCTATAGGATTAATTGCCTAGGCATGGTGCACTACACACTAAATGCCACATTATACATGAAATTCAAGGACGGGATTACTGAAAATATCAGGTTAGAATGATTTTAAGAGGAAGGTGAACACTGGGAGTTTGCTCCTCAAAACGAAGGCCTTCACAGGTAAGTAGTTTCACAACAGAGTGAGCAGAGAGACTGTATCTCTTCGGAACTTCTACAAATCCCCTGGTAAGGACTTGTTCCACCCAGTCTTCAACGGCTTTGTTGCTGTCGGATAAATATGCAGCTGCAAGCAATTGCTCCATGACTTTATGGTCAATCTCTAACAAACATTCTGAGCCAATAATCCTGTGAAAGCCCTCGGCAACTAGGTTCGTAAGTTTCTCCGCCAGTGTATCAAAATCAAATGACTTGAAGACCACCTTGACCACGTTGCTACCCACCTGACCAGGGAAACCTTGCAACCAAGGCTTGGAGTTATCTGAGGAGGAGTCATTGTCAACACTCCCATCTTCAGTCTCCTGCAGTTCATCCTCTTCAGCTGGAATGTTCAAATCTAGTTTCATACTTGATGTCCTGTTTGCCCTTTTAGACATCTCCACAATCTCACCCTGGTCTAGAACTTCATTGGTACCTAGCATCTTCCTTTTATTCAAAAAACCGGGGTTAGAGGTACGTCCTTCCCTGGTTGTTGTTGCTAGAGTCAAATTTTGGCTATTGGTGCTGTCCATATACTCAACCAATATCCGCATTGGCCAGCCCTTGGCTCTCAATATTTTGTCCTCAGAATAGTTGGAGGCCTCTATCCTTTGGAAAAGAACTTTGCTATCTGTCGTTAATGTTGAAGTCATCACAAATATTGCATTCTTGGTGCTGACTTCTCTTCCATGTGAATCTGACAATTTACCAGTCCGGATAGCATGGGATAAACTGCTCCAAATCAACACATCAGCCTGATCTACGTTTTCAACAAAGACAACAGACCATGGTCTTTTTCTCAGTTCCCCAGCAACATAATCAACCACATTCTTTCCCCGAAACCTTAAATCATAATTCAACTCTTCGTAATCAAAGAGTGAGGATGTCTTAATCATCCCATCTTCAGAACTTAAATCCATAGAGATGAAGTTATCTCTGCTTCCATATATTATCTCAGCAAGTGCAATAGCAATTTTCCTTTTACCACGCCTATCAGGTCCAATGAAATTGAACCATACATCTCCTCTTTGACTAGCTCCATGGCATTTTTCACTTCTTGTTCGGCAGTTGACTACTGTTTGGCTAATAAGACGTGTAGCTTCATCTTGCCATCCAACTCTTTCAGAAAGATCTCTAAAAAGCCTCTTGAAATCGTTTGAGTTGAACTGTCCACCAAAGTCATGAGATGAAGAGGATGAAGATTGAGTTGGACGATTAGATATACCTTCATGGATAAGATCAATATTTGTACGAAAGCAATCTGAGAAGTCCTTTCCAAGATCTATATGTTTTTGATTGGGAGTTTTCATTGACTCATTACTTGAAAGAACTGAACATAAGCCCAACCCTAAATCTGTTGTCACAGAAGTCACTGATGTCGGAGATGCTTGACTACAGTTGCCCACACTTGAATTGGATAAACTACAAGGAGATATGGAGCCAACAGTCTCAAGATCATCTCCTTTTGTAGGTTTTTCCCCTAGTCTGGGCAGGAAACTCCCATTCTTAGCTTTTGAAACTACAGAATAAGGCATGTCTGACTGCTTCTGCAAATTAACAGACATGACAGGGTTGATATTCCTGCAATCACAGTCATTGGGCAGTGCATCTCTGCTGTTGCTTCTTTGACCATCAGCAAATTCCTTCTTGTCTTGAATGAACTGAAAGCCCACAACAGTAGGGAATTCAGAGTTTAATTGACAAGTCTTTGACTCAGGGAATGGAGTGTGATGAAGTTGCTGGCATATAGCATCCCACTTCTTTTGCAGTGCTGCTACTTTTGCATTCAATATGATTCCATCATCTTTGGCCTGCACTGAAGAGAGATAAACTGGTTGTCACATCAATTTCATAAAGAACTTCAAATTAACCGTGACAGAATTATCTAGTCTGCCGTTCTTTGTTGCTTCTATATATAAAATTTACCAGACAGATATTGTCAAAATGCTTAAACATCAAAAATACTAAACTAGCATAAGTTTATGGCCCCTAGAATGGCATCTTCTTCGTACAAAGGCAGCTGGCAAAATATATACAAACCCTGGCAGAACAGAAATCTCTTGCAACACTAAAGCATAGATGCCAGGACTTACCATCCGATATGATGATAACTAAGGAATGGAAGCAAAATTTAGCATGGACTTGGAGGGTTCAAGGGGGACACACCTTCACATTCAATCCCTTGCTTGTGCCCAGTTCTTTCATCCGCAACCAAGGAGGCAAGCTAGATTGGTATCGATCTGCCATTGAAAAAGTGAAACCTCCCTTTGAAATAGCACGAACTTCTTGTTCACACTTATCATCGCAAGAACGGCACCGGGTCACACATTGAGGGTTGCGTAAAGGCCCCTTTATTTCAGAAGGCATGGAAAAGAGCCCACCAAATGGAACAAATGACTCCATCAAGCTGTAGTCAGATTGTGGCAATAAAACCATGAGATTTGATGAACACAAAATGTAAAAGAAATAACACACCAGTAACACGAATATTTAATCTTTACATTAGGAAACTAGATTCAATTAATATTTTGGATTAACATGCAATTAAACACAGTTTTGAGAGTAAGACAATTAACAACTGTAGGAAAGAATTTATTTTTTCTTTCCTCTTTGTTTCAATTTCTGCCCTTTGTAATTTTTCAGTCTGGACTAATCTACTCTTATTAATGAATCAACATACAACCCAGATTCATTAAGGACATTTTGGGTTTTTTTAGGCCCCTTTTCCTGTTTAATTACTTTATTACAGTGGCTTGAGATCCTCAATTCTTGAACTTTAAACCCAGAAATATTTTTAATAAGCATGGCATGAACACTACAATGATTATTAAATTCAAAAACCAGTTCTACAGACAAATCTTAACTTTTAATAACTTCATATAATATTATTTATATCAGCAAAAAGAAAGAAAGAAAGAAAGAAAATTACCTAGACTTGGGGAAAGACTCAGCAAGTGAAGGCCTGACAGAAGTGATGGGCAAAATCTGCAAATTCCAATCCTTCTCAGTTGAAGGAAATCTGCCAACAAACTTCAGGTACGTCTCATAGCTTGCTGCGGAACCCAGAAGCCATACTTTCTCCCCATGAAGCTGCAACAATCTTGTTAATTGAGCAACGACGTAGCTTGCCGGACCACTTGCGCCAACTTTGGCATTTTCATCGTTTTTCCGGTTGTCACTGAGTAATACCTCCAAATCACCATAATTCACCACTAACCCAGGTCCCAAATCTCGCTGCAGAACCCGACCCATCTCCTCAAATTTCGAATCCAAGCACCCTTTATCGACATCCCCATTAATAAACCTCGAAACATCACTGTCAATGCTGATTACGTTTGAACCAGAAATCTCCTTAGCCAAAATACCATCCTTTTTCTTCTCCACGCTATCTATGAAGCTCGTGAGCGTATCACGAGCACAGATGCCCACAAGCAAGGGATTCCTCCTCCGCGCTAACACCTCGCCAATCCTTCTACAGTTTTCTTCTCCGTCGAAAAAGGCGGCAAAGCCCGGAAACGGGAAGCTGAAACTCCGACGAGGGCCCCGGTCGTTGTCCGGATTCGAATTCTCCAAATTACAGAGGAAGACAGGAGGACCCCGTGGTCGAGGGTATCTGAGGAGATTGGGGAGCGGCCGGATAAGGGCGAGCTTGATTTCGGAGCTCCGGAAACCCGCTTCGCCGAATACCCGACTAACTACCGGGTCATCGAGAATCGACAAAATCAAGTGCTGCAACTCGACTTTGATGCACGAGATATTAGACAGGTTCTGCTGCGAGATATCGCGATACAGATGGAAATTCTCGGGCTGCCTCCGCTGGTTGGCTTGGGACCGTTTTATTGCCGCCATGAGCGAGTTCGACACGGGCGGTTCATGCCCGACCTGCTGACTCGACGGCACGCGGTCCAGCGATACGCTCAGGCACAGGTCCAGTGCCTTGAATTGAAGGCGCGGGGAGCACGCAGCGTTCCGAGCCCGCGCGCAGGCCTCACGCAAAGGGGAAGAAGGGAGCGACAAGAGCGCCGACACCGCGTGAAGTGAGGTGGTCTGGGCATGACCCCTCCGACGAGCTACCCCAACTGCCTCGTCAAGTGCGTTGGCTGCCTCCGGCGTCAAGCATTGCCTGGCCACTGTCACCGGCGTCGGCATCGCCGGCGAGCATATACCCAATAAAAATGACTAAAAAAAAAAAGGCGCCCGCGCACACAGACAAAGATTAAAACTTTATTTGTCCCAGTTGAAAAAACTTTAATTAAAAATAACACAATCGGAAACGTGAAGTGGGCATGATTTATTTAATGAGGGAAGACTGAGAACTGTTGCTGGGTGGTGGGGGCCTCACAGACAGAGACATTAAGAGGGAAAAAAAAATGCAAGAAAATTGAAATGGAGGAAGAAACCAGGTGGGTAGTATAGATTCTGTTTCTGGTTGTATTACGAAACCTAAGATCTTTTCTTTCTGCTGTTTGGTAATCGGAAATGGAGATGCTTGAGTCCACTTTCTTGGGAGTGGGCCACGATGACAGAGTCAACACCGAGTTTGGCCGAGTTTTGGCCGAGTGAAGAGGTGATGGGTTCAATTCAAATGATAAAAGGTGGAAAGCGACGGAGGAGGAGAATAACCCCACCCCCACCACCACAAACATATCATTCATATTTCATCATCATGGATGGCCTTGGAATAAAGAAGTGGGCCTCCCCCCCTGCCTATCAAAGTTTTTTTTTCTTCTTTCTCTCCCAGACTATTTAGCACGCTTCATTAGAGAGAAGAGAAAGATAATCAAAAAGGTTTTTGATTTGATGTGTTGTTTTGTTCTCTTTAGCCAACCTTTTCACCTCCTTTTTCTTTATTTCTTTTCCAAAATACCAAACATTGCTCTGCTTTTCCCTCCTCTGATATGACCTCCTAACCCACAAATCTTTCTCAAAAAAAAGTCGAGTCTTTGAGTCAAAATCTACATTATTTTATACATCTTTTGACAAATGGTAACTAAATACATCATATTTAAAAAGATTTTTTTTATTTTATAATTTAACTTATAAGATAAAAATTTAATTATATCAATTTGTAAAACAAAAATAGATTCAATATGGAGAGTCTCGGTTTCAAGTTCATGCATACAACTACACGGAAAAGACAAAACACTTAAACTAGAAAAGCTTTTATGTGCTCCTAATGCACTGTCATTTTCGCATATATTTTGTTACCCTCCTCAACGGCCAAAAAGACGCGTAAAGAACTCTTGCCCTCCATTGTTAATAATGAAAATATTGAAAAAGGAATGGAAAGGAAATCCGGATAGCGAAGTGGGAAAGGAAAAGAATCTCACAATGGAAGATCTCTAGGGTTTTGGAATCTTCACTTTTCTTTTTTACCCTCAGGACCATATGACTTATCTTATTCTCACGTTAGAAAGTTGACTTAAAGTCTATCTGCTTATAGTTAGCTAATTGATTGTGTTATCGGTTTGATTAGGATGCCTTTTTTTAAATTTATAATACTAGTTCAAGATTTCAAGTGGCTTTAGTTAGTGGATTTGAGGGCCTCTTTGGTTGCCATAGAACCAGCACAAGTCTCTCGGAATGTTGCTGCTCTACTGTCCCTAAATTCTTTTGCCTGGGAGTTTATCTTTTGGGTTTTTCTTGGAGAAAATAGAATTTGGAAAAATTCAGGGTCTAGTCAACTAAACATCAAACAAAAGAATCTAGGAGTAGTTGGTTAGTAACTTCTCTTGGAGATTTTTGTTGGGTTACATGGCAACCAAATATACTCAATTACACAAAGAGTCTTAGAACTTTTTTTGGGGGAAGAAAAGTGAGGAAGAATTGGTTGAATGGAACTGGATGCTTATTAGAAGATTTTATTATACTTCCTCAATTCATTTTTAGTCATTTTAATTAGATTTTTTTATATTTTTTAAGTATGAATTTTCAATAAAAATTTAATAAATTACATAAATAATAATTAAAAAATTTACCAAATAAAAATATTTGACAAAAACTACATATAGAAAGTTAATTATTATTTACATAAATTATAAATAAAAATATTTGACAAAAACTACATATAGAAAGTTAATTATTATTTACATAAATTATTAATTTTTTATCTAAAATTCACATTTAAAAATTTTAAAATTAAATTAAATCTACTAAAAATGAAAGGTTAAATCTATATTTTGGTCCCTTTACTTTAGAAAAAACCTCTTTTTAGTCCGTCTACTTAAAAAAACCCCTCTTTGGTTTATAAAGTTTGAAATCCGACCTCTTTTTATTTCCTCCGTTAAGTTTTACATGC